CTTTACTGTAGACACTGACAAGCTGATTCCAAAATTCATGTGGAAATACAAAGGACCTAGACTTGCCAAAACAACCTTTAAAAAGAACAAAGTTGGATGATTTATAGCATTTGATGTCAAGACTGATGAAGCCACCGTAATGAAGACACTGTGGCATTAGCCTAAAATACACAAATAGATCAACAGAACAGAACAGAGTCCAGCAATAGACTTTACAAAGGTGCAAAGGCGATTCAGTAGAGGAAGAATAGTCCTTCCCACTAATGATACAAGAACAATTGAAGAGCCATATGCAAATTCTTGAACTTCAATCCACACCTTGCCCCACAGAAAAAAACTAACTCAAAACAGATCATAGACCTAAGTGTAAGGCCTTTACACTACAAAACTTCTAAAAGAAAACACAGGAGAAATTTTTTGTGACCTTAGTTTAAGCAAATGTTTCTTAGATATAATACCATAATTCATAAAGAACACCTGATAAATTGGACTATATTAAAATTTAAAACTGCTCTTCAAAGACACAACTAAGAAGATGAAAAGACAAGCGCCACACTGGGAGAAAATACTTGTTCTTGCAAAGTATACACCTGATAAGGGACTTTCACTCTCACTACTCCATAATAATCAAAGAATGGTCAAAAGCTCTGAAAAGACACTTCACTGAGACGAAACATAATTTAGTACGTTCTGACATATGTATACACCCATAAAGACAGGTTTTGTCAAAAACTGGTGGCAAAAAAAAGACATGAGTTGACGCTCAGCATCATTAATTTTACCTTCTACCGGCCATCTTCTCTCAAGCTCTGGAAAAGTGTCAACTCTCAATTATACTGTTGGCTTTTCAATTTGGAAACTATTTATTGAAACTGGCCGTAAAACTACGTTGCCACACATCAATAAAGTTTGGGGGATTTAGAGATTCAGTAGGTGGAATGATGTGTTGTTCACGTGTGTACAGCCCAATGTCCTGTGGCATGAGAAGTCTCCCAAGACACAGAATACCAAGGGACAGGAGGCAGTTTGAGAGCCCAGAGCAAGATAACTGAGTGAAACATGGATTTGTATTTATTCTCCCTCTATGTTCCCTTTCGTCTCACTTCAAACAAGGAGCCAGGCCTTCAGCATTTGCTTCCCTCGGGGATTTTTTAAAAGTGGAAAACAAGTCACTTTCAATCAAAGGGTCTCCTGTCTTTTGCAAACATCTAAACTACCTGCAGAGAGGATGTAGGGGTCCCCCCCAGGGTAAGAGAAGAGGAGTGCTTTTAACAGCAAAGAGAAAAAGGGGCAAACCCACAGGCTGGGAGGGAGACAAAAGCTGATGAGTCCCAAGGTTAAGAGAGATTCACATTCGACTCCTCACCCCTCCGGAATGGGAAGACCAAACCCCAGGCTCCGATGCCCCATGTCTTCCCAGCTACTCCCATGCCAAGCATGGCACAGCTGGGGAGTCCAAGAGACTATGCAGCTGGAACAAAGAGCCCCTTTCCAGTCACTGGTGGTCCATCACCAGGGTTCAGAGGGCCCCAGACCCCAGATCATTGGCACAACACTAAGGGGTATAGAAGCTTCCAGCTGGATTTAAGCTGATTTAAAGAAAATGAGGAAATGTCATATTTTTTGCAGTTGCCAGTTGCACTAAATTCATGTGGGGACCTCCTGTGAAAGTGGTACAAAAATGCAGCTGACAGATTATAAATGCTGGAATTTATGCTAATTCATCCTGAGCCCACGGTCGTGACTGTGCGGTCGAACGGGTGTAAAGACATGAGTGTAAATGCTGGGAAAACATGGCTGACTAGCAAATCCCAAGGGTCCGTGTAAGTTTAGGTTTGAAAGAGCACTTCAGAATGTTTTGAAATCCCTGGTCAGGCAAGCACCTCTTTCAAGAGTAACAAAGGACAAATCACTCCTTTGTTACTATTATCTGGACTTTGTGGAAGTGAATTCAAAGCAGGATAATATCAACTAACAAAAACAAATAAATATAACTATTATTTCTAATACTGTAGAACTTATATAAATTATAAACAAATAAACAAACTCTGGGTAGACACAAGGTGGTCAGAGAAGGAAGAGAGAACAACAGCCTTGTCAGTTTGTTAAGATTAAAGTTCTTTGTAATTCTGAGGGAAATCTCTAGCAAGATTTTAAAATCTCTAAGTTAATTTCTCTTTTTAAAAATTAAAATTCTCCCTGGAGAGGGAGAGGCATAGAGTAGCGAACCAACGTGTCACCCGGGGAAGGGGCCGATCGCTCTGCTGGGACAGCAGTAGGGAAAACCATTGTGTGTGTGATGGACACGACGGATACCAGAAATTGTGGGCCTTTTCCAACAAATTTTCTGATGATGACATTCCCACCCCCAGAGAGGACACATCTGAGTCTTGGTTAGGAAACAGCACCAAGAAATGTTGCAATTGCAGTGTTGCAGACGGCACCCGGGAAACGTGGCTGATCGGCCTCCCTCAGCGGCCCGCTCTGGCTTCAACGTTCACCACACTCCCTCTTGCCCACCCCACTCCAGCCACACTGGCTTCTGGGTGTTTCCTCCACCTGCAGCCTTTACCTGCATTCCCTCTGCCGGCGATGCTCTTCCCAGACATCAGGAGAGCCCATTCCCCCACCTCCTGCAGGTCTTTACTCAAATAGCACCTTCTCAGGGAAGCATCTCTATCTAAAATTGCAGCCCAACCCCAGCACTACCTTCTGCACTTATCATATGACATTTTATATATAGTGTGCTTATTGTCCATCTCTCCCTACTAGATAATCACCATGAGGAAAAGTGCTGTCTTTAGTTCAGTGCTGGGTCCTTAGCCCCTAAAAGTGCCTGGCACACAGGTGTTTAGTAAATATTCACTGAAAGAACGAATGAGTATGTAAATGCTTATGGAATAAATGCCCAAGTGGCCCAGGCTTTGGCTTTCATAGCAAACAACGCTGCAGTGACAGTGGCCAAGCACCTGAGTACAAGGTTGTGGGGCCCACTACCAAACAGAGAATATGTACTCCTGCTAAAACAAACACCCAAAATCCTAACACCCGCCAGGGGAGAGGGCCGAGAACAGGCATCTTCAACTGCACTGTGGTCAGAAGGCAGCCGGGGGACCAGGCCCAGTCAGCTTGGATGTCAGCCAGAGGGAACGGCAGGGCGTGCTGTCCTGGAGAGTGGTCTGAATGAGCTCGGTCCACCCCACGTTGGCCCAACGAGGGGATGTGGCAAAGGAGGGAGAGGAAAGTGTTTCCCTCTGCAAATATCGTTACTCCTTTGGTGCTTTTCTCAAAATAAAAATTACATGTGAAGTGAAGGGCTGACAAAATTCCTGTTTGGGGATAAGGAAACCATGCCACATATTTATACATGTGACCTAATGTAAATCTCAAAGAATAAAGTAGTATAAAATATGATCTCTGCTCGCAGGAAGCTTAGTCCCTTGATGTGGACACAAGACTAAGTAAGAGGCAAGAAATAACTCCTGCAGCGTTTTTCTAACAAAGGCTTCCTGAGAGCAGAAAGGGGCCTATCTGTTATCTTGGAATCTGGGTGGCATTTGAGTTGGAATACAGAAATTTCTTTGCAGTCTTTTGTTTTGTTTTTTTAAATTTAATTGTGTACTTACTTATAATCTGAATTATAAAAATTTTTTAAATTACTTAACAGTAAACTTACTTAGCTTTTGTTTCCCACGACTTCAAAACAAACTGATAATCCACCAAAATGTGGTAAGAAATCCTGTGACTTTGGATTCTCCTTGGCACTATAAACCCCAAGGGGTATAACCCTAATTAGTAAATGTGAAATATGATATCACTGAAAACATCATTTTATGCCAAAATGTATGATGGAGACAATAACTACTGTGGCTGTTCAGGAAAAGCCAAAATATTTGTTAAGACTATATGGAGGGCCGGCTGAGTGGCATGTTGGTTAAGAGCTGGCTTGGGACACCAGAGAGCCCCGGTTTGGATCCCACATATGAGGGCCAGTGACACTGCCCTCTACAGCTAAGATGCTGAGCAACAGCTCAACCTGGAGCTGGGTTGCCGTGAGTCGACAGCGTAGGCTGCAGCTCCTGCTGCAGTGGGTTGCCATGGGCTACCGTGTGTGGCCAGCAGCCAGTGTGAGCGGCCGTCCAGAAGCCGGCGACTGATCTGCCTCGCCCGGGAAGAGCGCAATGATGGTGCCAACTTGGGCCAGTGAAGCGACGTCCTCCACAACTAGACGAAGAACAAAAAGGACAGCAACTTGTCTGTTCTCCTTCCCCCAATTCCCCAGCACTGTTCCCATCCCTCAATTCCCCAATAAAAATTTAAAAAAAAATTTTTTTCAAAAAAACAAAAAAACTATATGGAGTCAGAAATGAAAAGTATTTTTCAAGCCGCTGCCAGTATATAAGCTTGTGACAGCCATTTTTTTTACATAGTTACACAATTTTCTAAAAATGAGGAAACAAGTCATTTTAAAAACAAATATATATGTGTGTATTTTTAATATAAATGAAAAGTAAATATACAATAATGCCAGAAGTAATCTATCATCAACTCCGGGCTCTTTTAAAAAGATGCAAGATCATTGTTTTCAAAAGATACAAGATGCACAGATAAATCACAGTCATACCTTACAAATGTTAAATAGCAAACAATTTAAATTCATAATGAACAATGACAATTTTTCAGTAGCTTGAAATTTCAGTTGTTCATTCCATAATTTTTATGAGTAAAAACAGATCTAGTCATGTACTTTAACATTGTCATTTATGTATTACTCAAAAGTACAAAGAGTCCTGAAGATGAAGTCCCATGCTTATTGTATGTATTATAAAAATACTGAGACATTTATCAGGCCAAACTAATATAATGAACAAGTCCAACACTTCTCTTTGGTTCAGAAAACGTAAGAGGTAGGTTCAAATAAGATTTTCACTAAAATGCTGGCAATTTATAACAGAAATTACTAGAAATCAAACTTGAGTTTAGGAACTAAATTAAAAAGCAGTAAGAATAACCTCAATAAATACTTTTCTAAGTCTAATCACATAAATCAGAAAAGATAGTTGACTACAAAAATGACTTTAGTAAAATAAAAACATGTTACTGATCTCATAAATTAAGTTTTGTATATCATACATAACATATTCCTAAAACTTGGGGCAAGGTACAATATGAATGTGTATGTTTATAAATTGGGCCTTTCATTTAAATATTGGTACCTAATATATAAGATTAAGATACGCTACTATTACTATGTACTAAGGTTTGTGCTGCCCAAATTGAGAATTGCGGGTTCAAAGAAATTCAGCAGTGAGGGGAAAAAATGAGAATGTCAATCGCCCATGAGCAACCCAATTCATGTAACAGACAAATTTCAGATTACCAAGAATGGTCCCCAGAAGCCTTCCTGATTAAAACAAAATCTGAATCAAGTAGGAAACAAAGGACAAAGAAAAGAGAGATGCTCTTCAAAAGCGCATATAAGTAAAAAGGTTTTCAAAGCAATGACAGAATCAACAGAATCTTTCAAATAAATCGCCTCGTGTTGACATTGTAAAGTAATACACTGACAGTCAGTGTGTCATCTCAGGAACGAAATAACAATGCAAGAAAAATGTTAAAAGGCCCATGAAATAAGCATTATTTCATCACTCCTCCTTCTACAAAAGTGATGTGAATAGACTAGGGTATTCACACGCCTTGAAATTCTGCCACTTATGTTCATTCTTATTCAGCTTAAAGAAAGATAAGGGTATAAACCCTATACTTATTTGGCTGCTGTAAGTATGTTTTCATGCAATGATTTTCTATTAATGTCTCTATAAGGGCATTTTAAGAATTCTACAAGGACATTCAAAATATACAAAACAAGTTAAGTTTCAAGGTTTTCTGATCATCTTGTTTTCAAGAAAAAGACAAGTATAAAGGAACTGGCATAAACTTGAGCCATCCAAAATAGAGATGATTTCTGATTCTACAACACAAAACAAACTTAGTTCAAGCAAGCACGTTTCAGATTTAGGATTCAAGGCACAGGTTTGCAGAAAGGACTAATAAGAAAAGACAAAATGCTGGAACTTGTCAGCTTCGCCTCTTTCTGTACCAGAAATACTGGCTACACCAGGAGCAGAACAACAGACAGACGGACAGGTTCCTCCGGCACTGCAGCTCCCTGCTCCCTGGAGACTGGGCCTCTGGCCCAGGAGAAAGCCCCAGGGCGAGTGGAATGTGCGTTTGTGGCTGGTGATTTAAAGGCAGCATTTTCTCTGGAGCGCTTTCCCTCTGCTCTTCACCCCTTCCTCCCTGCAAGCCTGCCCCCTCAGCCCTCTTCAGGTGTACCCAAAGACCCCCTGATGAAGCACAACTCCCCGCAGGGCCCCCAGCCCACAGGGGTGGCCATATTTGGGCAGTTCCCAGTTCTGTGGCCTCTGCTATCTGGGGAGCAGATTTTGGGTCTGGATCTTCCTGGGGAGTGGGTCCTGGGCTTGCATCTTCCCCTAGGGGGCTCTCTTCCCCTTCCGTTCTCCTCCTCCTCTCTCACTGCTGTAAATATTTCAAGGAAATGGAAAAGAAAAAAAAAAGACAAAAGCAAAAGACAAAATACAATTATGTGGCCTTTTCAAAATTGTATGAGCTTATCAAAACTATGATGTTGAGCATTTCTGTATATATAAAATTGAGCTCAAATGTTTAAAGTGATCACTGATATACTCGTCCCTTTTGTGAAAAAAAATATGGCTTCTTTTGCCATGAACTTGCAATTCTAGGAGAAAAAAATCACTCTGGAGATTATTAAAAATTTTCAATAATCATGCTAAGGTAAAAAATTCAACATGTCATTTCTGGGTTACTCCTAAAGTTTGTTTCATATTTTCATAAACCACGTAACTGATGCCGACAGCAGGCAGCACCTTCATGAAGTTTGGGGTGATGCCTCTATAAAGTCCTGGGATTCCTTCTTTGGAAATTATTCGTCGAAAGAGGCCCACCATGTTCAGCTGTGGGGTGCCTTCTACCATGGCTAGAAAACAAAAAGAGAAACCAGGGTAATTTAATATGCAAGCATGTGTTGTAATTATTACTATACACAATTATGATTCAGAGTGATATTCTAGAATACAATGAAAAGATAAAATTTATTCCAAGGGGCCCAAGAAAGTACCCCTCTGTATAATTCTCCTTGTTTAGCACCTAATAGTGAGCGCCCCAGTCATAATCACGATGGTGCTAATAGTTATTTATTGATTGATTACTATGTGCTAGATATTGGGTTAATTACTTTATATACCAATCCTTGAAGGTAAGTATTATTATACCCATTTTATAAATGAGGAATTGGAGGCTTGGAAAGATGGAAAAACTTGTCCTAATACACTAAGCTAGCAAACAGGAAAGCTGAGAGCTGGCACTATTCCACCTCCAATGCTCATGCATTTTCAACCACCCAACAGCCACCGCCGCCGCCGCCGCCGCCGCCACCACCGCCACCACCACCCTCCTCCTCATTACCCAAGTGCTGAGGAGAGAACAGTTCAATGCTGGGAAGTAAGGGGAGTATGGGGTACGCTTTGGGGAGCGTAGGAGAATATAGGGTCCCTGGGCCTTGAAAATAAACAATCTCGATAGGCAAGAAAGGGAGGAAGGAAAAGCCCAAGTTGCTGGCACAAGAAAGAGAAGGGCAGGAACACAAATGTGCTACGGGGACACCAGTGATGGCAGGATGTGGCTATTCACAGATGGCACGGAGCGACTGGAGGTGGGCAAGGCAGGGGTGGGGCAATGAAGCTGAAGTGAACAAATTAAGTGGGGCCAGAATTATGATGGGCTTTGAAATTCCCACTAAGAACTTTGGAATTTATTCTGAAGACACTGAAGAGTCACAAAGATTTCTGAGCAGGCGTCAAATGATCAGATCTTGACTTTTGAAACAAACCCATCAGCCATGCAAAGGACTGAACTGGAGTTGGCAAACAGGAGGGGGAGGCTAGTTAGGCGATGGTTTGATCAGGCGGCCTGGGTTTGAAGCCCAGCTCCGCTATTTACCAAAGGTAACCTTGTGGTAGCTACTTAATCTCTTTTGGCCACAGTTACTCATCTGCAAAATGTAGATAATATTAGTATCACCCTCAAAGACGGTCATGATGGTTAAATGAGAGAATAAACATGAAACGTTCAGTTTGCTACTTTGCGTTTTTCTCTCCAACCATATGGTCTTCTTTCGACTCCTCAAAGGTGCCTGTTTTCTCCTGCCTCAGTGCCCTCACACACGCTTTTTCTCTGGCTGCGATGCTCTCTTGTCCACCTACCACCTTTGCCCGCTTAACTCCCGCTTGCCTTTGCAGGATCAGCTTAAATGACAACACTGTCTGGCTCCCCTTAGGTTAAGTCAGAGGCCCATCTCTGTGCCCCCCGAACAAGGGGAGGTGGATTACCGAGGTTATTTGCTGAATGTGTGTCCTCTCCACTTCACATGGCAGGGACCACATCTGACTTGTGGGCTGCTCCAACCCTACAGTCTGGCAGGATGTCCAGCACCCAACAATGGCTCAGGAAGTTATTTCTTAATTAATGACTGACAGCTTGGCTGGGGGAGGGGTGGTTGATACTTGGAATAGAGGTTGGGGACAGAGCAATAGAGGCCCAGGGTGTGCTACTCAAAGAAATGACAGGCAGTCACATTGGCCAGGGAAAGAGAAAGAAAAAAAAAAAAAGCACAGAATGCCTACTTTCATATAGCAATAAAAGTCAGCAAATCATAAGACAATAATCAATGAGGTGGCAGAAGAGCCAGGAGGGCACAGTGTCACCAAAGTCAAGGGAGGAGACAGTGTCACATTGTCTCCTGGGGAGGCATTCTAAAGTTGTAGGGTCCAATAATAATACCCAATTTTGGCCACAAGAATCTGACGAATGCCAGTTGCTTTACATATACTGTTGCTAATTCATAAAACACTGTGCAGTTGTCATTCCCATTTACAGATACATATTCTTAAAACATGTGTTCTCAACATGGGCCAAAAAAACCGCTTACTCTATGCATAAAGCTCAGATACATATACAGTACACGTGCAGTGTATCTGTGGTATTAAAATCTCATTAAGAGGGAGTGATTAGAAAAATAATTTGTAAAAAGGCTCCTTAGGGAGGCAATAATGAATAAAACGGGCAGAGGTACTGTCTTAAAACCACACTCGGCTGTCTCAGAAGAACTTGAAGTTCCAGAAGCACGTGGCTGCTGTGGGACTTTTACCAGAGTCATCCTTTCACCGATAACTCACCTTGCGCCTGCATGCGCGTTCTCACCAAAGCCAAGGGGTAGCTGGCCAGCTGCCCACAGGTGCTGGATAAGGCGCCACATCCCAGCAACACCATGACTCCGGGGTTTACAGAGTCTTTGGCAAAATTATCCAGCCAGTAGGACTTCAAGAGCTGCCAGAGGAACAGGAAAGAAGAAAAATAGTGAAAAACTAACTTCATGACCACTTTCATTCAGCATGAACATTTTCACAGCTACTCTCATCCTTATGAGAGACGGGCTGCCTTTCTGCAAGACGGGGCGGCACAGTCCCGGGACCAGGGGCTCTGCAGAGAGGTGGGAAAGCCACTGGGGATTCAGAACACCTGAGGTTTGCCCTTGTTGCTTATCTTCTTCTAAATAAATGTGAAGATCAATAGTACACCAGATGTATGACCTAAAAAACATTTTCTGTGGTGAGTATTAATAAAAATAATACGCTACTACTAATTGCATCTAATTTTGTACTTTACATATTATCTCATTTAGTCCTTTTACAAAGCTCTGAAGTGAAGCTACTCTTCTGAATTTAGAAATGAGGAAAATTAGTCGCAGTGGAATTTTTTTAACAAGGGTGCAGAATCAAGTATACTGATCCCCCAAGCCATGCTTTCTCCCTTCTTATTCTAGGTCCCTGTCTTTCCATTACAAGGCCATAATTGAGAGAAGTTGTATAAAATATGCATGCTAGTCTACTTTTTAAATATAAAATATTTTAAGTATAAAAAATATATGCCAATAGGTGGGAAAAATTATATCTTTTATGGTAGCCTGAGAAAACTAATACACTACCCAAAACAATCTACAAAGTCAATGTAATTCCTAATCAAACCCCAATGACATATTTTTCTGAGGAAACAGAAAACTGTCCTAAAATTTATATAGACTCTCAAGGGACCCCCGACTAGTTAAAATAATCTTGGAAAAGAAGAATACATTTGGAGGCCTCACACTGCCTGATTTTAATATATACTATAAAACAACAGTAATCAAGACAGTGTGATACTGGCATAACGACAGATACATAGGTCAATGGAACAAAATAGAAAACCTAGAAATAAATTCTTGAACATACAGCCAAATGATCTTCAACAAGTCTGTCAAGACTATAGACCAGGGAAAGGACAGTTTCTTCAACAAACAGTGCTGGGGCAATTGGATAGCAACATGCAAAAGAATAAAGTTGGGCCCTTACACCATATACAAAATTAACTCAAAATGGATTAAAGATCTAAACATAAGACCTAATACTATAAAACTCCTCGGAAAAAACATAGGGTAAGAGCTTCAGGACATTGGATTTGGCATAATTTCTTGGATATGACAACAAAAGTATAAGCAACAAAAGCAATAATAGACAAACAGACTTTATCAACTTCTGTGCAGCCAAGGAAACAATTATCTGAATAAAAAGGCAATCTACAGAATGGGAGAAGATATTTGCAAACCATATATCTGATATGGGTTAACATCCAAAATATTTAAAGAACACCTACATCTCAACAATTTTTAAAAAATGATTAAAAATGGGCAAAGGACTTGGATAGACATTTTTCCAAAAAAGATATATAAATGGGCAACAAGCATATGAAAAAATAATCAACATCACTTATCATTAGAGAAATGCAAATCAAAAGAACAATGAAATATTGCCTCATACATCATGGTATGGCCCCTATACAAAAGAACAAAACAAGTAAAACAATTCCCCGCCTCTCCAAAAAAAAAAAATCAGAAACCAGCAAGAATTAGCAAGGATGTAGAGAAATTAGAACTCTTGTGCACTGTTAGTGGGAATGAAATAGGGTACAGCTGCTACGAAAAACAGTTTAACAGTTCCTCAAAAAGCTTAATATAGAATTACTACATGACCCAGCAATGCTACCCCTAGCAGAGACTCAAACAGATGTTTGTATCCAATTTTCATTATGGCATCAGTCACAATAGCCAGAAGGTAGAAACAATCCAAGTGTCCATCAAAATGTGATATAACATACAATGGGATATTATTCAGCCATAAAAAGGAATGAAGTTCTGATATATGCTATAACACGGATGGACCCTGAAAACATTATGCTAAGCGAAATAAGCCAGGAAAAAGAGACAAATATTGTATGATGCCATTTACATAAAATAACTAGAATAGGTAAATTCACAGAAACAGGAAGTAAATTAGAGGTTACCAGGGGCTGAGGAGAGGGAAAAGTGGGGTGTTATTATATAGTTACAGACTTCATGTTTGGGGTGATGAAAAAGTTTGGGAAATAGATAGTGATGATAAATACACAACACTACACACACTACACACAGTGTGTGTCAAGTGTTAATTAATTACACAATGTGGAATTAACGTCCTTGAATGGTGCCCTTAAACGTGGTTAAAATGGCAAGCTTTATGTTATATGCATTGTACCACAATTTTTAAAAATTAATGACATAGTATACCAAAAGCCATTGAATTGTACTCTTTAAATAAGTGAAATGTATGGTATGTCAATTATAGCTTAATAAGTCTGTTTTTAAAAAAAGTAAAGTCCTCTAAGAAAGCTTTCATTACACACTCCACGCCTCCCCTCAGCAACAGGTTGGCTCCCCCCCTAACCCCCGGCTTGATTCCATCACAGCACAACTAAGCACTGTGCTTTAGCTGTTTGATTGTCTAGCTCCCCTACCAGACCTGCGGTTTTTTTAAGGCAGACACCAAGTCCTTCTTTCAATCGCTAGATCGAGTGTCTAACCCAGTGGCTTGCACACAGTGTGTGCTCAATAAATGTTTGTCAGATTCATAAATTATTAAATAGTTTAAATGGCAAGATTGATTAAAGGTTTCTAGTCTGAGTTGTCTCATCAGTACCAGGGATAAATCTGTGCTACACATATAAGTCTCTTGGCTTTGTCAATGTCAGATTTGAACAAATCAAAGAAAATGTGCCATTTGTGCTAATTTTTTCTCCCCTCAAAAAAAACAATCCTTAGTACCACCTTCTAAACTGATATTTGAATGTGAGTCCATTTTCTTCATTAAGAAAAATAATTCACAGGGAAATCTAATACAAAACTGACCACAGGTATATGAGGTTTCATATTCAAGGTAATTGAAAAGATCAAGTAACACACCTTTAAATCTACTTTTGGTCACAAACTGTTCCCTGGTATATCTGTACTTCTTTAAACAGAGTCAAATTTTGAACAATAACTATTTTAATACAGTTTCAGATTCAAAAGATTGCTACAAACTCACCTCATACACAGCGAGATCTATACCTGCATAAGGTATGATGCCTAATAAATTGGGAACATAACCTTTGTAAAAAGCTCCCATGCCTTCATGTTTCACAATCTTCTTGGCACAATCAAAGAGTCCAGAGTACTGGCCGGTTTTGCCTACAGCCAGCCTGGTTTTCAAAACCTGGTCATGAAAGAATGTAACAAAATATTAATGCTCATATTAACTCTATCATCATGAATTCAAAAGAGGTCATTTTAGAGAATACCCCAGTACATATTGTCACTCACGTGACAGTTAGTTGCTGTGTTCTCCCTTCCACATTATCTCAATTGAGGGGCTAAGACGAGAGCAAGAGGACCCATTTATTGCAAAGAGGATCTGAAAAAGGCAGTAGCAGAGGAAATTGAGAAAAGATGATCTATTGATGTCTTCATAAAATGGACTGATAACCAATTAGATACACAGGGTGAGGGACATGGTAGCGTGAAAGATGATTCCAGTGTTTCTAGCTCGGCGCATAGGATGGGGGCAGCAGGGAGGTGGGAAGGTGATACTGTTAACTGAGATGAGCAATGTAAGAGGAAGACTAGGTATGGAGTTAGGGTCCTTTTTGAGGGACGTGTGGAGTAAAATGAATTATATTAAGATGCTTGCAAGGAAAGCTACAGTAATATGCATGTCACAAAACTGAAAATGAAGGGCATATCTTGCCTAGGTCGTATGAGTTATTGAAAAACCCTTTGTCATGTCAGTAAAGAGATCCACATCTATAATATCATTTTTGCTCTAAAGTAGGAGTCAGAAAACTTTTTCTGTAAAGACCAGATAGTAAATATTTTAGTCTTTGTAGGTCTAAATTATCAGGCCTCTGTTGTATATTGGTTTGGGTTTTTTGGGGGATTTCTTTAACCACCTTTAAAAATGTAAAAACTATTCTTAGCTCAAGGGCAATACAAAATAGTCCACAGGTCCATGATTTGCCACCCATGCTCTAACGGAAGGATATCTAGATAGGTTGACCATCACCTAATCAAATCCTGAGGTTCCATTATGAAATTTATGGTACCAGAACTCTTTGGAGAACAATGGGTGTTATCATTCTTATCAACACTGTGGCAGCCAACCTCCAAGATGGCCCCCAACTATCCCTGTCTCTTGGTATTCACACCATTGGTATTCACACCCACACTCTACCAGGGGTGGTCTGTGTGACCAAAAGAATACAGCAGAAATGACAAAAGACTGAAGCTTCCATCTTGGGAGCTTATGCTCTCCGCCTCTTTCTCTGATCACTGATTTGGGGAAACCAGCAATGTTGCTGTGAGAAAACGCAAGCAGCCTATGGAGAGGGCCCATGTGATAAGGAACTGATGTCTCCAGCCAACATCCAGGGAAACAGGGGAGCACAGAAGTAGATCCATCCCCAGTTGAACCTTGCAGTGACTGTAGCCTTGACTGACACCTTGACTGCAGGGTGTGAGAAACCCTGGGCCAGAGGCTCGCAGCTAAGCTACTCTCAGATTCCTGACCCACGGAAACTACGGTAATAAATGCTTATTTTTTAAAACTGTTAATTTTGGGGACAGCCTGTTACACAGCAACAGGTAATTAACAAATTGTGGATCGGTGACACAGATTTGCGTCTATACATTACATCTGTGCAAGACAGATGACGCACATCTGCGTTTTTAACAATGCTTGTTTTCCACGCTCTATACACTTAACTACACAATACATGGAGCCTTTCTCCGAATGGTCCTGCTGATGAATGTTTATAGAAATGTGACCTCACTCTGAGTTAATGATCTGTGATAAATATAGGGAACAAACAGCTCTGTCTTTTCCTCTGTTGCTCTGCTCTGCATTTAGTCAGCATTCAGAGATTTCAATCACTTTACATCCATGACAGAAAGATGTAGTTCTTACAGGAAAAAATATCTTACAGAAGATGAAGTTTCAGCAGAATTGTTGACGGACACATTATCTGATGTTCCTGACAATGCTGATAGTGACAGGGAAAATGACAGTGACTCTTCTATTATTGGAAATAGGCAAAACAAAATTGTGCAGCCTTTACCGAGTTACAGTGACAGTGAACAAAGCACAAACAAAAGTGACGATGACGACACACTAGATTCAGGGGTTTCCACATGGATAAAAACAGATAAAACACCAAATTTAGGGCCATCTACTGGAAACCCAGGGGTAAAACAAATTCCCTCTGACCCGACGAAAGTATCACAAGTAACAGGACTCTTTCTTGGAGACAGATTCTTTGATATGCTGTGTGAAGAAACGAATCTATATTACTTACAAAATCAGGAAAAGTATGTTACTGGTTCTAAGGGGTTGAAATGGTCAGATGTCATTGTAGCAGAAATGAAAAAAATTTTTTCAATACTTATTCTAATGGGGCAAATCAGGAAAGATAAATTAAAGGATTACTGGTCTACAGATCCATTTTTAGATACTCCTATTTTCAGGAAACTTATGAGCCATAATAGATTTGAACAAATTTGGTAGTGTTTACATTTCCACAACAATGAACTTCTGCAACAACCAACTCACAGGCTTTTCAAAATTCAACCCTTGTTGGATTTTTTTTTCCTTGAAAGATTTCATACTATTTATAAGCCAAATCAACAATTTCCTTAGATGAAGCAATGATTCCTTTGAGGGGTAGGCTTCATATACAAACATATTACCTGAGGAAACTTATAAAGTATGGCTTACTCATTCGTATGGTCACTGAAAGCACCTCACGCTATATCTTGAATTTAGAAATTTATGTTGGTGAAGGAAAAAAATTACAGGAAACTATTTTCACACTTTTGGAACCTTATCTTGATCAAAATTACTATGTCTACCAAGACAACTATTACAATCATGTGACAATTGCTGAAACTCTCCTTTCAAGACAAGTTAGAGTGTGTGGAACAATCAGAGTGAACAAGGGGTCTTCCTCCAGAAATGAAAAACGAATCAGTCTCTGAAACGTGGCAAAACCACATTCAGGAGAAAAGGTGAAATTCTTCTTTTTTTTCTAAAGATTTTATTGGGGAATTGGGGGGAGGGGAACAGCATTGGGGAATCAGGGAAGGGAAACAGACAGGTAGACAAATTGCTGTTTTGTTCTTCAGTCTAGTTGTGGAGGACGTCGCTTCACTGGTCCATGTTGGTATTGTGATCATTGTGCTTTTCCCGGGTGAGGCAGTCAGACCAGCTGCAGGCCATTCACGCTGGCTGCTGGCTACACACAGTAGCCCATGGCAACCCACTGCAGCAGGGGCTGCAGCCTACGCTGTCACCAATGACTCACAGCAGCCCAGCTCCAGGTTGAGCTGTTGTTCATCATCTTAGCTGTAGAGGACAAGCGTCACTGGCCCTCAATGTAGGATCCAAACCGCAGCCCTGCTGCTCAGAGCTGGCGCTCCCCAAGCGAGCTCTTAACCAGCTGAGCCACTCGGCCGGCCCTGAAATTCTTCTTCAATCCTGGAGGGATGCTCATGTTGTCAACATGATTTCCACAATTAACGATTCAACAATGGTTGATGTTTCACGGAGACATGAAGAAGAAAAAACCTATTTGTATTTTTCCGTATGTTCATAAAGGGTGTTGATAGGGCAGATCAGTACTTGTCTTATTATTCTCTCTTGAGGAAAACAGTGAAGTGGACGAAGAAAGTTGCATTTTGGCTTATAAATTGCGCACTTTTCAATTCTTTTAGAATCTATCAAAAACTAAACCCTACATCAAAATGAGATACAATGAATTTCTGCTACAAATGGCAAAAGACTGGGCTACAGATAAGGTAGAGACAGATTCAGACAGACACAGACGCAGCACACCCAGGAACATCAACTCAAACCCTTCATGTGCCTCATATGAGAACCCCCCTGGGAGACTTTCGGGTGATATGTGCAAACATGTGCTAGAGAAAATTGTTAGAAGTGAACGGGGTTAAAGAAAATATCCTGCTAGGAGGTGCCATGTTTGTGCTGCCCACAAAAAAAGAAGTGAAACTCAGTACATCTGTAAGTTCTGCTTAGTGCCACTCCACAAGGGGGAATGTTTCCAGAGGTATCACACCCTCAGGCACTACTAGAGTATCTGGTATTTCCTGAAAATTTCAGTTCACAAAAATAGTTAGCAAATTTGTCATAAACTTTTAAAGAAACACAGTATAAAAGTTGATTTAAATGGTTTAAACCCTGGGAACATGCATTTAAACAATTTAAATGCCCCATCCTCAATGTACTAATACACACACTAGTAACACAGTCAGACATCACAATGGCACTTACCTCCATAGGGTAAATAAAAGTCTGTGCAGTTGCTCCAGCCATGGAACCAGAAATAAATCTCTCAAAGGTTCCTATTTTTTGTCCTTCCTCAGTAAGCAACTTCTTGTACTGTATAAATAAATTTTTAAATGCACTTTAATACCTGCTATAGATAGAACTGTGTCCCCTCGCGAATTCATATGTTGAAGCTGTAACCCTCAATATAATCGTATTTGGACATGGGCCTTTGGGAAGTAATTAGGGTTAGATGATGTCATGAGGGTGGGGCCCTCATGACAGGATTAGTGTCCTTATAAGAAGAGACCAGAGAGTTTTCTCTCTCTCTCCCTCTCTCTTCTTACTCTTTCCACATGCATGCACTGAGGAAAGGACATGTGAATACACAGCAAGAGGGCAGTCATCTGCAACCCAGGAAGAGAGCCCTCACCAGAAACTGAATTGGTCAGTGACTTGTTCCTGGACTCCCCAGCTCCAGAACTGTGAGAAACAAATTTCTGTTGTTTAAAACATCCACTGTATGGTATTTTGTTATGGCAGCCCGAGCTGAATTATGACAATACCAAAATACAAATCAGCTCCTAGAAATCAATGAATTGACAATATGATGTTTGTCAAAATGCATACACAGTACCCAGCAGAAAAACAAGGCTTAAATGCTAATATATTTTCGTTAACTGGACAGTGGTTTTCAAGTTAGATTTCCACAGAACACAGATCTGTGTTTCCACAGACGTTCCACAGATGGGACCCAGTTGCTCCTTTGCTAAAACAGAATAATAGCATTCTTTCCCAGATGCACAAAAATACAGGGTTAATAAAGTGTTCACAATTTTTTGGATAGTTGCCCCATAGTTTTCTTTTTTTAAGATGAGTTTATTTTCACCAATACAAATAAAACTAATAAATCATAAGCAAATATTAACAGAACAACTGAGAAAAACAGTTTTTGTGGATAATCCATATAATTACACTATCACTAACAATACAGTGATAACAATTACCTGCTCATATGCCCAGAACTTGACAGCTGTCTCAGGCGCAATTTTAATGACATTTGTACCATTTCCTCTCCAAAGGGAGCGAATACCGCCTTCTTTCACCATCTGTCGGAAGCCGCCGTATATGTTCATTTTGTCTGATTTTGAACCGTGGACCTAAAAATAAAAGCAAAATGATAAAAAATTCTGGTGGCACGTTATTGCTACTACTTCTAAAGTAACTGTACAAGCCACTCTCTTTTCTCCAATACTTTTTATTACTGCAAGAAGAGGTATTTGAAAATAAAATATAGAAGGTTGAGAAAATATATAATGATAAGAAAAACTATTAACACCATTTTAGATGCCTGATTCTGAATCTAAAACTTAAAAAAAAAATTATATCCTCAGTGTGGGAAAGTAGACAGAGAGAACGTGATCAAAACTAACATTATTATGAACAACATTCATAAGAACATGGACTAAATTATGTATTAGGCTACGGAACACCATTTGGAATGTGAACAAGTTCAGTTTAAGAAAAATAAAAATATGTACTGTGGGTAATATATTATCCTTCCACTCAAGGAGTAATACCAACATGAAATATAAATAAGTCTGAAAACACTTTGGATATTATATATAGATCAGAGCTATAGACACTGGAATGTACAGAGCTTGACACCAAAAATAAAAATTGTACCTTGTATGGCTTATCTCGAGGCCTCTCTAGGCAATAAATTCATGACAACATGTACCAACAGCCTAACCCAGTGAGTAACGATGAGTTACTTCGCTTACACTATAGATGTGATAGTTGTATAAATATACTAGACCTTATGATCACCTCCATCTGATTAAATCTAATAAACTAAAAATTATTAAAGAAATTGGCTATTCTTCTGATTGTTTTTGGCTTGCACAAAATGAGTGACTACTATTAAAAAAAAAAAAAAGATGGGAGGGGCTGAAGACTAAGTGGGCCGTGTGGGTTGTAATGACTGAGCCACAGTAAAAACCCTGGACACCAAAGACTCAGGGGAGCATCCTTGGTTGGTGTGCAACACTCTCTGCATATTGTCACACACTGATGCCAACAAGGTGACACATCATGGTCCTGTGCAGAGAGAACAAGAGAAGCTCTGCATTTGGTACTTCCCCAGGGTCAGCTCTATGTTCTTTTCTTGGCTTATTTTAATCTGTGCCTTTTCCCTGTAATAAACCATAACCATGAGTATAAAAGCTTCCAGTGAGTTCTGGGAGTCCTTCCGAATTATAGAATCTAAAGGTGGTTTCGGGAACCCCCTGAACGTGCAGAAACTAAAGTCCAAAGGTATCCACTTTATATTAAGTAAACTTCACAATACAATATGACAAAGGAAAAGATGAGTGCTTATTCAAGCTCTCTCAAAGTCAATTTACTATTATTGTTTCTAACGAAAAATACACACACCAATTCCCTCTCCTTTTTTTTTTAAAGCACTATCTTTACCTCTAAGCACATTTTGAGATGAGGTACATTCTGAAAGGATACTGGTTTAAAATACTGTCAGAAACAGTTTTGTACAGAACCCTAAGGACAAATATAAAAAGTGATGACTATAGGAATAATAAACTCAACTTAAAAATATATATATTTTTAAAACAACTACTATATTCCAGTAGGGTATTCCAATGTATCAGGCATTTTGATATACCTAATGTTATTTAATTCTGACAAACACCTTTGTTAGATATTCTTATTCCCATTCCAGAATGAAAGAAAATGAGACCTCAGGGGTTTCAGGCAGTGTGAGAACCATGAGCTTTGGAGCCAAAGATACTCTACTCTTCATCTAATTTGTTGTAAAGGAAAAGTTATTTAAGTCTCTGAGCCTCAGGTTCCCCACAGATCATATGAGGATAAAATACCTTCTTCGCTGGGTTACTAGGAGGATTAAATGGGTTACCATATGACCACCAAAAAAACAATAATTCCTTTCCTTTCCCTCTTTCCAGTCTGACCAGCCAAGGCTATATGGCTAGTCAGTAACTAAGTCAATCTATAAATCCAGGTCTTTTTCTGCTAACCTCAGCTCCAGAATAATGTTTAAAATTACATCCTTGTTCCAAGATTCGATATTTCAGAAAACCCCACTTTTGAGAAAAGTACATAAAATAGAAGGAAAATATAAATAATTTAAGGAGAATACTGCAAAAATAACTGGAGACCTTTTTTTTAATTAAACAGTTGAATAATCACAGAATACCAGAGAGTAAAAGTTCATCACACACATACCAACAATTTACGTTCAGTCGGACATTGAAATACTGACATGGACTAGATTTGGGGTTAACGGAATAAAACAGATATTTTTAAAGGTATGAAAGACTATTAAAACTTTTTTAAAAGCACCGTATTTCTCATTGTTTTAGGGTTTTGAGGACAAACTGAGACACAAGATCATGAAGTTCACCTGCATCATGACTTTCAGACGATCCAATGGGGCAGTGCTTGTTCGAGAGACGGCCCCAGCTACGCCTCCTGCCAGAAGCTGCCTCCACCACTGTCCGGACTTTTTTTCGTCTTCCGTGAATTCATCCGGAATAGCTAAACTATCTCCTATGTCAATACCCTGTTAAAACGGAAAGAAGACCCCCAGACTCCTTCAATTAAAAATAGATCATTCCAGTTTGTTTGTTTTAGAGAAGAATCACATGTTATTTTATAGTTAAGACCAACTTCATTCCCTAGAAACTATACTGAACCAATTTGAGACTATAGATGATTATAAACAGCCTCTTCACACTAAATGAAGGGCACTATCAGTTCACAAGAAACGAATATTAACAGTAATTACAAATTTACAAAACCAACAATTACAGTTTTCTTTCTTAATAGATTCAGAGTAACTTTTCTCCTCCCGGTCTAATTCAAAATGAAAGGGCAGCATTTTATCAGAAGTAGTGAATCCTTATAACTAGAAAAAGAAATTCGTTTGTCAGTTCTTCAAAGATACTCCCTTTATCTCAAAATTATATCCATATTATACTTTACACCTTAATATATGCTTTATGTATGTAAATAAAATTAAATAAAAACTGTGTATGCAAATACCCCTAAATTTATTTCCTAGATATACTGTCTATAAATATTTTTATAAATCTAACTTGTCATTTAAAGCATGTGACAGATTGACAGATTCTATATAAAATTTAACAGGAGGTATTGCTTAAAATGATCTGCCCTTCAATCTAGCCTAAACATTACTATAGATTACAAATGTAGTTTGAGAGAAACAAAGTTCTATAATGATAATATTTTTATAACTTAAATATCTAAATAATTTTGGTGTAAAAGATTTTGTAGGTAAGATTATAAGGGTAAGGAGCTATGCTGTAGTAGTGTGGATGAAAAACGGGGTTCGATGGAAAGTACCTCACGGGTGATCTGATCATAAATTCCTAACTGGGCAGGTCATGGTGAGCAGTCACGCCCTGGGCATATAACTTCCTTAGTAAGTCTTATCTTTGCCTTAAGCAAGCAATGTCCATTATATCTATGCATCTAGGTTAATACACCTTTGAAATGCCCCCTTTCAAACTCCTCAAGAGAGCACATCATCTTAACTATCCTGTAATCCCATTCCTCCCACTTTCATTGTAATCTCCCTTACATTCCCTTCTGAATCTCAAATACATAAATATTATCAAACACAAACTGTTATCATCCAAAGCATTTATCTCAATCTGTTGAGATCTTGCTTCCAGGTGTATCCTCTGTTTGGCTCAAATAAATCTTGATTAAAATTCTCTACAGGCTTAGATGTTCTTAGGTTGACAGCAGGAACCTTCTCTTTTTTCATTTTATTAACAGTAAAATGGATACTGCTATCAACTATCTCCAAAAACACAGTAAGAATCTGATTATGTAACTACAACTTCACATAAGTATAAAATTTATCTAGGCAACTGACTACTAATATAGTATTATACTCATAGTTGAAAAGGCATAAAACAGCAATAATTCTACAATACTCTATGGATATTTAGGCACAGTTACTAGTAGCAACGTGAACTCTAGGCTTCATATCGTGCATACAAAATTTACTAAAATCCATGAATAGTACAGACGTCACATCCATTAGAAAAAAAAATTCTTGTTGGTTTCAGGAGAAGACTGAACAATAAATTCTACTTTGTGTACACCACTATCTTAGCAGAATATTAATGCAATTTAATGAATTAAAATTTGCACGTTTTGAGAAATAAAGACAGGTGTGAAATGCTGAGCAGATGAACCAAGAAGATTTTTTTAATTTTCAAAAATTAAAAGTGCCTTATTCCAGAGATAAACCCAGGCAGTTGACTAAAGAAGCATAAGTTTCAGAGGGGATCTTTGGCCTCATCAATTGCCAAGGCAACAGGTCCTCAGCAACCATGAGGTGCTGATTATTTAGGTAATACCTATAAAAAGGCAGTATCTATAAATAGTAAAAGCCGGTAGCTTCCACACTCCCTATGGCAAAATACTTACATGCCAATAACAGCTGCACAGCTAATCTTCATAAGCCTTGGAAAGGCAGTACCTCTTCTAAGTTTTGAGAACAGCAAAAAAAAGGTACTATATCTGTAATATTTACAGTCTTGGGGAATTTTAAGATATTCTAAATACGTGCACTAGAAGAACTCTACAAGTGAAGGAGCTGTTGGGGGTTGGCTGGGCACCCACCCTGAGCTGTAAACGTTACAGAACATTCTCAGGGGATAACTATAGCTGTGGTTTACAGCTCCAAATAAGTATAAATTCATACATAAAGCACACTCACAGTAGAATGTTTCCAGAAACGGATAATTCCCTCAATGTCTGTAACAGGGTTGAATAAGAAGTAGTCTCTCCATTCATTCCAGTCCACTGTCATAGTCCCATCAGCATCGATGCTGAAAAAAAAGGAAGCTAATTAAGGAACGAAACAAAATGTATAAATAAAGCTAACATTACTGGCTATTTTGCAGAATGACAGTTTCTTTTCCAACTTAATTCTTATTAAGTTAAAAGAAATCCCAATTCACAACAATAAGTTGTTGGAAATGGCAGCAAGCATTGGGTGATCTGTTAGTTTTAATCTTTTAGATAAAAATGGACCCCCAAAATTAGAGATGCCGCACTAAAGACTACTTTTGGCAATCTGTCAAACTTTAAGTCAATGAGCTATCAAACACAAAACCTGGAAGATAAAATATTGGAAGGTAGGAACGAATGGTTTATGATTCATTTTTTCTTGCACTGGCTCAGGAAGATATTTCTTAATGTTCTGTTGTGCCATTTGGAGGTGATTTTAGAATACACTCAAAATATGCTATCTATTTCCTTCTCCAAATTTCTCTAAGCTAAGAAAACTAGCAGTGATTGAAAAACAAAAATCAAACTTGGTGATTGGGTCTTTTGAGTCAAGAAACCCTAGTACCTCATGTGCAACATTTAAAATTAATATATTATAACCTTATTTTTCATTGAAGTTTATTATTTAAAATTAATATATTGTAGGGTCGGCCAAGTGGCGCGATGGTTACGAACTGGCTTGGGACGCCAGAGGGCCCC